CATTAAAAGATATTAAAAACACCGGCCAAACCTCCACTAGTTTCAGACCATGCAGGGTTTGACTATCTCTTAATACAATGAAAGCAATAATGGTCATCTTTATTTTGTGGTCAATGAGATTTAACACTCAAATAATTCCTTTAACAAAGCCCTTTGTATAGAAAGGTGTGGTGACAGTTCAAATGAGAGAGCTGTCCCAAGCTATTTCCATTAGCTCTGGAAAGCTCAAGTGTACTGTAGATATTACGTACATTCATCTTGAGAGTTAATTTAAAAAAACAAACAAACAGACATTAGGAGATTGTCTTCACCCCTTTGAGTGAAAAAGAAATAATCAGAAGCGACATCCGCAGTTTTCTGTTTTATCATGCCGAGCCCAAAGCTTAGATAAATATGCGTGGGTGGGTGCAAAGTAAATCAAAGCAGTTCTTCACTCACCTTCTCTGATTAATTTCTGCTTCGTTGGTGGCGTTCTTCCCTGGCCCCCAACTGTGTCGACGGAAAGGTGACAGCGGTCGCATGGAGTTCCGTAAGACGGAGGAATGAGTGGGCACATCCGTGATACTGTCCAGCTCCTCCTCCTTCTCTCCCTCTGTGGCCACCATGTTGGTGCAGCTGCCATCCAGGCTGTGCCCATCCTTGGGCTGGATGAAGTTCACTGTCGGTGGGAAGGGAAGGGACGTGTCGCTGCCCAGGGATGAGTTCCTCTCCAGGGACATGGTGTCATCTGCAGAGGAACTGGAGCTGGTGATATCGCATGCAGACTGCTCCTCTTCAGGCTGCTGTGGATAAGAAGAATTAAAAATATATTAAAGTAGAATCATGGAATGGTTTGGGTTGGAAGGGACGTTAAAGATCATCTAGTTCAATCCTCCTGCCATGGGCAGGGACACCTTCAACTAGAGCATGTTGGTCAAAGCCCCATCCAACTTGACCTTGAACACTTCCAATGCAGGAATACATTTAATATTTTAAATAAATGCAGATATATTTCACACAAGCTGAGAGACCTCCTAGTTGATTGCATGACGCAAATTATCCATCACAGAAGGGAGACTTTTTGCTTTGGTTTCAGAAGAGGTTGAAATGCTCTGCAGAGCAATCTCCTCCACCCAACGAGTCCCTGGTTGCCGAGTCCCTGGTTGCCAAGTCCCTGGTTGCCGGAACCCCGGGTTCTCATCTTGGTTCTCTGCCTGCCTTCCTCTCTCCAACTCCACATTTCATCCTGCACAGCAAATCCTGCTCCTCTCACCATTTCTAGCTGAACCTGTTATCAGTCAAGGTGCCATAAAACTGCCAAAGGTTCACCAGGCATTAATGACGGAGAGCAATTCGTGGGGAACCTGGTCATCGTGACTCTGGACAACAAATTCCAGCCTCTACTGTGGGACCTGGGCTGGGTTTGTAGCTCTCAGCCATGAGAGCTCAAGGGCAACACACCGTTCCAGCTGCATTGTGCAGTACTAAAGGGTCAATTATTCAGTACTAGAAAACAGAGAGGGGAAAAAAAAAAGCTTAAATCCCTGTCCCCTGCTACTTTCCACTAAGCAAAAAGTTAATGCCAGGGTTTGCAGTACTTTTCAAATCCAACCGTAACTGAAGAATATTGTTCCACAGGATCAGCTGCCCTGTATTACAGGCCTCGAGTCATACTGAAGTTTTTTGGTTTAGTTTGCTCCAAAAAGCAGTAGGTGGAAGCCAAACTGGTTCTCGTTGGCCAAAGGCCACATGCTGACCATAGAGCCCGAGAAGAGCCTGTGTGTATTCTGCGTTCCCCGTGGCTAGCATTAAAAAAACCACCACACAAGCATCTCTCTGACATCACCTTCAGTCTGAAATGGTGTTTGCCTCGAGGGACTGACGTGGGAAGTTTCGATTTATCCTCCTGCAGAGCCCTGCGCTGTATCATTTAAAATAATAATAGGCAGAATGATCTGTCAGACCCTATATAATAGACTATTCAGCAAAGCCACAGCGGTTAATTGTCTTCAAATAGCAGGCTCGGTGGGTCTCAGCAGAAGCCAAGCGTTCAAGGAGCTGCAGGCTGTCGGCTCTCATTTGGCAGAAGCCAACAGGCTACAAAATCCCATTCCCAGAAGGGAGAGATGGACATCGAAACCACGCGGGACAGCGTGAATGGGAGCGGTGAGCAATCCCTCCCCTCGCATCCCAACGCCCTCACTGCCTTCAAGCCCAGCGGTCTTAAATGCCCCAGACACTGTTGCTTTTCTGTGCCTTTTTTTTTTTCCTTTTTTTAATGGGCACACATTATAAGCTAAAAGCTTCTTGTTAAACTGAATAAAAAGAAACTGAAGTGTTCAAGAAGTATTCTAATCAAGCATTTCACAATTTAAAGGGAAGCTCTATTTCAAGTTTGGCTATTTTTTATTCTTATTTCGGTTTAACAGGTACACAGTACTGTTCCTACGGTGGTTGAAAGAAATACCGTCATACTATTACCTCTCTCCCACCCATTAAAGAAAAAAAAAAAGGGAGGGGGGAAGACAGCATCCACAACACAATTTCAAAGTACAATATACCTTTCAAACACAAAACATTAAAAAAACCACACTAAAAATATATCCCTCCAAAAGCATGCATTTCATGGTAAGGAATGCCAAATATTGATGGTGAATTTGAGTAAACACTTTACTATTAAACTTGTACTGTAAACAAAGTATTGGATTTGACACATATTTAAAGAGGAAGCACGGGTTAAAACAAGAGAGAACCGAAATGCATGCCCTGTAAAGTTTTTGATGACATTCAGCATTATTCAAGATAATCTGGTATTTGTGTGAGTCATGATGAGAGCTTACTGAATTGCTTAAATCCAGACAAATTAAGTAGTCATTATGTGGATAATACTCCTTCAATAGAGGAAACAGTCTGCTTCACTCTTCTGAGACACAGGAAAATACTGTTAGACATCAGGGCAGCACAGGAGGAGGAGAGAGGACGACTCACCAGCTGTACAGTGGAAGGATGGGGCAGTTAGGAAACATGAAATTTGGATGCAAATCTAGCAACAGTAGTGCAGAACATCAAATTATATAGGGAGGAATTAGAATAAAAAGATAAAAATTTATTTCCCTGATACTGCTCCAGTTTAAAATGCAGAACAAAAACTGCTTCCCTAGCAGGGAACATTTAGTTTAGGGTTTCTATTTGTAAAGTGCAGTTCAAAGAGATATTTGAAAAATGTGAAATATTTGGTCCATTTTAATTGTTACCTTGAGCAACAGAACACAATAAACAACTCCCCTGAACTGGTGGCCCATGCTTATTCCTCTAAAAATAAAAATATTTAAATGATTTTTAATTTTTTTTTTTTTTTTTTTTTTGGAAACAAAAGCACAATAGTTAATATGAAAGACCAGGACTCTGCAAAATGCCAAGTGTGGCTGACATGTCTACATCTATATTGCAGCCACCTCTGCAAAACATTAGCTATCCGACCAAGTGCCAGTAAATATGCATTGCTCTTTAATCCTATTTGAGGAACAAAAATACCGTTTGCAGAATAGAAATGGTTCTCTAATGTGTTCTTTTCTTACATGAAAAATGAAACATTAAAGAAATATTAATTTTCTTCAAGTTAGGTTTGCTGCATTGCACCTCAATGAATTCAACCCTTAATTGCGACCATAAAACTCATGGCTGAAAAGAGCCCTTACACACATGCTAATGGGCATTTCCTTTGCTCTCAGAAACAGTACTCAGTGAGAAGCTAGAAAGAAAAAAAAAATGAGGTAAGCCATAAAAAGTGAGGTTTCTGAGAAAGAATGCATCTTGTTTCTTCATGAATAGGTATAAGAGAAATCACTAGGATGGTGGGGGGTATAAGATAATTTCTTCAACTAAGCCCCTCTGTCTGTAGGAGGTCTTGATAAGTGGAATTAAAATGTTCTTTCAATCATTTTGGTGATGACAACACATCAAGTGCTGAGACACAAATTTATTCTATCCCCTGATATTCAATGTGAATAAAGGTGTTACAGTATTAAGAAAAAAAAAAAGAAAAAAATTACACCCTGGCATCCTGAAGTTTCTTTGGCATGCTATTACAGTAAAGGAGGCACCATCTTTGGTTGGTTTGATATATAATCTAGCAGAGTCATTTTTTGTTTGGATTTGAGTATGGCTCCAGGCTCCCCAAAATTAACCTCAGAAGTGGCCTCCTATTAATTATCATGGAGTGGCACAGTCTTTCCCCAGTGAAAGCCTCTCTCAAAACTTCTATTCCTTGGGGTTGCTTGAGGTTTTTTTCGTTTGGTGGGCTTTTCTGGTGGGCTTTTTTTAGAGAAACAGTAATTTAAAAAAAAAAAAAAAAGACAAAATATTTATGTATTTCTGTATTTCCTTGATCAAACCAGAGACAGGCAGAAATGAAATAAAATTCAAGGGACTGAGTTGCAACCCCTTCCTCTGATAATGATCTGTGGGCTTCTGACTTCCCAAGGGCCCTTCTTGTGAATCATTTCCCAAGAGGCACATTAAAAAACTTCTGAATGCTGAATTTCAGGGGCAGGTTAAAAGTTAAGATGAGCAAAGCGTATGGGCTACGCCCCAGGACGTTGCCAGATGATTGTGAGAAATGACCTTATGCAGCATTAATCATTCGAGGAGGAGGGTGTTGCAAAGCCTGCCCAGATGGCTGGCTGAGACGGAGAAGGAAAAGCAGGATGACGAGGACACGGGAATGAAGCGCTGACGCAAAAAAAAAAAACCACAACCCAAACATTTTGCTGAAGCCTTAGACCTCCCGTTGGAAGTAATTTCTGGATTTCAGTGACAGCCTCTAAAGTCTGAAAAAACAAGTCAGGTTTTAGCGCTAAAGCTCTCCAACCCGGCAGCTCACGTTATGCAGCTCAGCACCTGTCCTTTAGGGCAAAAGAACTCAAAAGGAAACAAGCACAGGAGGCGGCAAGGAGACAGCAATGATGGCATGCACCCAACACCAAGGACAGCTTAAGGTACCTGCAGATTTTGTGACCCCACAGACCCCAATTCTCCGTGGTCCTGGGGTAGAACCAGGGCTTAAAATCTATGAATTACAAGCGATGTCTATGGGAGCAGCCTGAAAACCCTAGACAGACAATAGCTTGTTCTTCCTAAATTTCTTTTAATGCATTAAGCAGTTAACAGATGAGTGATTTATACAACAAAAAACCCCTTCTAATAGGCAACAGTTCAACTCTTGCTCTGTGCAAAGGGAAAACAAGAACAGGACCAGTAATAACAGTAATCATCATGACACTGAAAGGCTTGAGATCCTCTTTTTGTTCATAAACATGTTCTCTCTCTTCCCAATTTGATGTGGAAATTGTACTATTTAATAGGCTTATAACTAACCAACTGCGACCAAGACATGCATCTTATAATCTTTTTCAGAAGAAAGATTACATCCAGCACTGATTTTAGCGGTTATTAAAAATATTTATAATTTGTATTTCTACCAGCTGGGCTCAGCAGTCTAAAAAAAAAAAAAAGAAAAAGAAAAGACTGAATTAAGGAACAAGCTCACAACACTAGAATGGTGTCTCTGGTCCTTCTAGAAATAACTTTAATTGTAGAAAAGGTACTCGGACAAATTCTGAGAAAGGAGACAAGGAATCGAGTTAGTCAGCAAAGCAGAGACAAAAAAAAGCGACTGAGGTTGAGATTAGCTTTGAATAACTTCCTAAACTCAACTCAGGAACCTTTTGAACCCATTTGTAGACAAAGTCTGCAGTCCACCACATAGTAAGAACAATGCGAAGGCTGCCAAATTATGAAATTCGCTTTCTACAAAGAAAATAATTTCCTCCCGCTGCCCACTCTCCACTGGCAATTGAAGATCTACTTTCACTACCATCTCCTCCTTTTCCCTGCAACATCGCTACTACGTTGTACTACCTATTCTTTTAAAATTTTAATTTTTCTTTCTTGTATTTGGAGAAGAAAGCTTTCCACATAAGAAAGGGAAAAAGCTAAAATTCTGTACAATATAAAATTTACTGTGTTCCCACAGCACTCTTCTCCCACACATCCCCATATAAGCATTAAATCAGGCTCAAATGACAGTCGGCTGTCGGAATTCGTGCCACTCTACATGAGAAAATTGAAGACAGTCTTCTGCTCTGCCAAACAGTCTTATATTCTCACAATCTAGGGTCCCGCATCACTTTGAGAGTAAGATGGGAAAGGGTGAGGCTGGTGAGCTCTGTGCCCTACCACATACATTAAGGATGACTTTACTGTTCATTTATAGCACATGAGATCACTTAGCCCGGGCTGTGGTGTTTCCCGTCCCGCTGGAAAATATTCACCATCATCTGATTTGATTTAAGCAAATAGAATTTTGTTTCATTAAATCTATTTCTCTGAAAGCAAGTGTGAAATCTACTCTGAAAGTTTAGTTTTTCAGAGCAAGAGCTGTGCCTGCACAAATAGGTAAGTTGGACCTAAACGTGAGATTTCATGAAGCCGAGACCAACGTGATGGCTGCTCTAAGGAAGGTTCGCATCCCCTTTGATTCTGCATCACTATATTCTTGCTGAGTGCTTTTTCGTCATGGCAAGAAGAATGTAAGTTACCAGCAAGATGATTCTTAAAAAGCAAAACCTAATCACCCTCTGAATAAATTCAGGCTGCTCTTATGGACGGCAGAAGACCGACGCTGCAGCGAGGCATCCTCTGTTTGGGAGGCTGACTCTGTACCCCGCGTCTCGCCCACTCCTCCCTTCCTCTCCTCAGCCATGAGCAACACAAAGGGCACAGGGATGACTAAGGTTAGTAATGACTTCTGTTGTTGATTTTAAGCAAACCTGAAAACATTTTCCTTCTACTTGCACGCAAAAAGGCATTAGAGGTACGTCGCCTAGGCAACAGAACGATTCATTGGAATTGGCCTTAAGTACTCAGAATGTTTCCTTCCTATCCAGGGAGTCACACTGAATATACAGAAAAACACTGGTTCCTCTGAGAATTACAGTATATGATTCTGAAGGTGTCAGCACAGAGGTCATCATTTGCTGGAGAAAAGCTCTTTTGGTACATTAGTTAAAGATGGCTTTCATACCATCTGTGCAGTCCCTAATGACCTTGCAAGAAAATCCACCTTTTCAGCTGCTCCTCTAGCACCTGATTTACTTTCGGACAGTCCACATTGCTTTCATCTTTTTACCATCGGGGGCTGCACAGTTTCTGGAATTCTGCTGTAAGTAAATACATCCCTCATGTTGCTGCATCCAAAGATGGGACCGGTTCCTTCCCATCTACTCCATTCCACGATAATCGCTTCCAGGTTTCAAACTCACCAGCGCAACCAAGATGATCTGCATTTGCAGTACGGGTTTATCGAGTCAAGACTTAAGAGGTTTTTTTTAACCGTATCCCAACCAGGCTTTCCTACCTTTCCAAAGACAAGGTCTTCCATCCCATCACCAGGCAAGGGGAAGAGGTCGGACTCACTCCCGGACTCTCTTTTAAGGACACCTTGTGACGAGGCGCAGACGCTGCTCAGCCCATCCTCCAAGAAGTTCTCACATTCTACAGGAGCAAAGCAGAAGGAGTTACTGTAGCATCCATACATTCAACTCACATATACTCAGTAAATTCAAGGATTTAAAACCAACAGTAAACACAGTTTTATAAAGTGTGTTCACCTCCCAAAACTGTGCCTGCAAATTTTCAAACAATTTATTCAAGAGTTCAAAACTCCTTTTTAATGGATGATCAAAGTACATAGTGCAAACAGAAATCCTGCATTAAGCAGCCATATATGCTTGTAGCTTGAGGTGCTGAAAAATATGCTATATATCAGGTACTCCACACTGAGCACAACAGGATGTTTCCCATCGATTGCAGTAACTTCAAAATTAGATTCATATTCAACAAATGAATATAACTTGACAATATTTGCTTGCTTTCTCAATTAAAACCAATCAATTCTCTCTAAATGCCAGTTTAGAGGGGAAGATTATTTCATTCCTTCTTTTATACTTCTCACTGAAAAAAACCACTAGTATGACTTCCACGACAAGCTTTACTAAGATTAAAAAATTAAGTGTCTTTTTAAATTCCAAAGCTTTCATAACTCCTGACATTGATATATAAGCATATTGCATCTCTTTTTCCAAAATGCTTCCAGCTGTTTGTATCGTGGTGATGAGCAACACAAATACAGACAGCAGCCACTGAGAAAGCCCTTCCTTTCCAAAAACCTTAACAGACATGTCTTTGCATCAATAATGACTGTATATCATTTCATTTGTCCAGCCTTCAGGCAAAAGTATTTATGACAGTTTTGGCAATACCTGAACATTCTTTTCTCCCAGCTCAAAATATTTTCAGGAAAAAAAAAAAAAAGAAAAAAAAAGGTGTTATTTTGCAACCTGCTCTAACTAAACATATCCAAAACATGTTTAGCTCCCTGGAGAGGAGCCAGGGCACTAAAATGTCTTTTTGCTCTTAAATTACACCTGACGAACTCCATCCTTGGCTACATCAACCTTACGCATCAATGCAACGACGACAAGTTTGGGTAGCTAAAACCCACCTTTTTTCCTTTCCTAACCACCTCTTCCCCTTGCTCATCCCTAACCTGTGCCTGACAGCAGCTGTCAAACACCCCAGCCACAGCCCAGCCGATGGGAGCGACCCTGCTGTCGGAGGAAATAGAGTTAATTTATTGATGGGAGCAGGGCTGCCCTCGTTTTGGGCACGGGGGAACTAAAAGCAGTTGGAAACCCCATTACCCTGCAGAGGAGTTTCCACACTGTGGAGAATTGGAAAAGCACTTATCGGAGGCGGCGTGGCTGCTCCCTGGTCCTGTTCCCCTTTCGGTAAACCTGGAAAATGTGAACTGCTTTTCCATCACTGAGGGGGAGAAGGGGTGGGGAAGAAAAGGAGAGAGGGGAAAAAAAAAAAAATAGAAGGGAAAGGCAAAGGAGAGACGGAGAGGCTGTAAGGGAGCGGGCCAGGGTGCCGACCGTCCAGCTGGCAGCCAGCAGAGCGTATCCGCAGCCCAGACTGAAAAACAAAGGGGCTCGAGCCACGTTCCAGTGGAAAATCAGTGGTGACGGTCCGGATGCGCCAAGGGACGGATATCTCACCCCAACGATAAATCACAAGAGGCAGCGAAAGGCTCTGCAGGAGCCTCCAAGGGACAGAGGACATGAAGTGGCTGGGAGGGATGGAGTGATGGGGACTCCCCCCACACCTCAAACCCTCTTGCCTCTCACTTCTCCTTCATTTTCAGTTGTTTGAGGGGCTCTTCCCCCTGTCCTTTTCTCAGTTAGCTCACTGGGTTCATTTGCTTTGCTTTACACTGCACAGGCATTGCACAACACTGAGCTCCATCTCCCAGCCCCGGTGACAGCACCGCCACGGCAAGGGGACCATGACTCCCATCACACATCCACCCCTGCTCGCTGCAGGGCCGACAGCGCAACCTCTGTGGCGGTGCAGGCAAAAAATACAACGATGATGGTAACACACTTCTGCACGTAATACAGAGGCCAAAAAAAAAAAAAGATAGTAAAAAGCCCTAGGAAACAAATTTCCAATGTTCTTTCAAGTACATTTTCCAAAGCCTCATCCTCCAAGACAGGGCTGAGTCCCCCAATTCCACGCCGACAGCCACATATCTGCCACACTCCTTCAGGCTTTTCATTTCAAAACCACTGACATAAAATAAGATGCTAAGGTTTCTGGAGTTACCTTCTAAGATTTGAGGACTCTGTCCTTCCAAGCCACTTCA